CCAGATGAACAGAATCAACTTTTTGGAGATTTACTTTCCTGGATGATTGAGAATGCTTCAAGACATATATACAATAATGGATTTCTATACATTTAAAAAATCAGATGACCACTTTTGTTGAAAGATTCAGATAATTATTTATTCAAAGTTTTTAAATAACATAACAAAGAAAAATATTTCTTCATGTCCCCCTTTCCCTGTTAATGCCCAACCTGGCCCCCGACAAAACTTTGCTAGACCCGCCCCTGCACAGTTACCTGCCGTCAGCTATGTAGAAAAGGATCCTGGTGTTATTTGTCTCTCAGAAACAGTTCATAACTTCCATTCAACTCATTCATGTGACCTAAAAGGTAAACCTGTTTCTCCATAACCTGCTCAGCTCTGATGATTCAGTAAGGACATCTCCTGGTTTCATCTTCATGTTTCCCTCTCACCACATATCCAAATGGATGTCATGACCAGCAGCTTTTACAGCTGTGGCTCCAGCAAGCCTCAGCTGATACTAGAAAGTAATATTAAATACATTCTAACAACAGCTTATCACGCTTAAACGTGCTGCTGTTTATCTGCTGGTTTCCTCTTTCTAGCGCAAAGTGGGCGATAAACAAACAAGAAAGATGGAACTTGTGGCAGAAAAGCCGATCAGCTGATCCTTGATCAGTTTCATGTTTGAAGTAATAATAGGAGAGGAAGGGGGAGTGAATGAGAGAAGTAGAAGCAACTGCGCAGCAAAGACAGAATAACTCCAGCTTTGTGTCTATTTTTTTTATTTTAGCTGAAGTTAGGGACAAATCTCTTCCTTTTCAGCCTCGCTTCTGTCAGTCTGCCCCAGGGCAGCTTTGGCTACAATTGTAGCTTGCCTCCACCAGTGTGTGAATGTGAGAGTGAATGAATAGTGGAATTATAAATATGTATGTGCAATCCATAAATATAGAAATGCAATCCATTATTAACACTTGCTTTACTTCTCTGGGATAGTTTTCGCCGAGATGAAATGCCACGGTTAGGAAGCATGTAGCAAGGCTCCAAATGCTCCAACAGGTCTCGCAGACAACAGCCGCTCTATCACGTGACACATACTGCTCCGATGCGCCGAGCTGGGTTACGCCAAGTAGCGCGTTTTGTGAGGTGATTTTGTGATACTTCGGATTTTTTATTTCTCTCCAATCCAGTAATTTAGGTCAGTATCGGACCGATACCGATACGTAATATCGGATCGGTCCATCTCTAATAAAAATCGCTCAGATCTCTAGACTAACACAACCCTAACCCAAACAGCCATTACAAAAAGTGAAAACAAACCACAGTGTAAACACTAGTCTTAAAATATCATATTATGCAAAAGTCTAAAGTTTAAGATGTATGTTACGGATGCTATCCACCACATGGAGTCCAAAGATACAGTTAGCATCCTCAATGACTTCTCTCGACACAAATGAACAGGTCTTGCAATAGACTGATAACCACAAAGCTCCTGATGGTAATAGACCTGTTATTACTCACAGTTGCTTCATAAACGCACAGGAGGAAATGTCCAATGCATGGTAAGTCTCGGAATCTCCAGCTACATTGGCCGCTGCGCTTCTGTGGCTGTAAGGGCAACAAGCCATGTGATGTGATTAACAACTTATTGTCGAATTTCCCAGAGGAACCCACCCGAGGGATTAATAAAGTTCTATCTTATCTTATCTTATCTTATCTTATCTTATTCGCCACAAGGTGTCACTGCTAGGCTTCAAGACAGTGCCTGGAAAGTTTCTTGACTTTAACTATTGCTTTTCTAAAATTGCATTAACATTATCAGCAATCTCCAAGTTTGGAAAAATGACTGGATCTAGTATAACTGTTGATCTGTGTGATTAGAAGTATTGTCTTGTGATAAACACTAGTTATTTCAGTCAATATTACTGTGGTGGGGCGTGGCCTGCAGTGCCCTGCAGGGAAGGAGGACGCACCTGCACGGCATCCGCAATCATGCCGACTTAAACATAGCACTGGGTCCTGTGATGGTGTTGTTGTTATGTTGAGCTGGCAGCAGGAGAGCTGCAGCTCTGTGTGTATTGTGGACAGCAGCCGTTAAAGCAGTGGTTCCCAAACTTTTTTTGCTATGCCCCTCTTTGTTCTACAAGAAAAATGTTTGCGCTCCGCAGGTTTAATCTTGTCCTGCAGGTTTTAGATCTCACCTTGGGTCAACACACCTGAATCACATGATTAGTTCGTTACCAGGCCTCTGGAGAACTGCAAGAGCTAATTTAGCCATTTAAATCTGCTGTGTTGGTTGAAGGACACATCTAAAACCTGGCCCTCGAGGCCTGGAGTTGCCCAGCCCTGTACTACACTAAGGGGATACACAAGCAGGAAAGACACCAAACAGAGGGAACACAACTAAACCCTAGGAAACCAAAAACAACAGTCATAATACAAAAAACTATCAAAAGTAAAAGTACACAATCAAAAACACTGGGTCACCGACCCAGGACCATGACACATATTTTGCTCCATTGCAGTTTATTTCACACCTCAAACATTTAGTAAACAATTAAGCAAATACAAGTAATCTGCAATAAATTACAGGTAGTAATAAAATAAACTACTAACTCTTTTACGCTACGTCCACACCTACACGGGTATTTTTGAAAACGCAGCTGTTTCGTTCTCACACGTAAACGGCGTTTCGAATCACCGAAAACTGAGATTTTTTAAAACTCCTTTTTTGCGTTTACGTGTGGACGAGGAATACAGAGTTCGTCACGACAACGTCAAAGGTATGTGCCTTTTTTCACGTCACGCTGTGCGCCACGTTATTGTTTACATGAGATGAATTGCAGAATGGCAGATAGAGACAAAATTGTTAATCTGACTATCTGCAGGTTTTACACGCTTACATATCACACGCAGTTACTGTCCCTCCATTTAGAAAGGCAGAGGCGTCACGGTGTGATTATTTTACTGTAGTTTTTTTTTCCTGTGTAATAATATTCAACATTGCTATCAATACATTTTTCAAAAAATGCCTCTCTGTGCAAAATGGGTTCAGAAACATAAACAACTGTGGGATACTGTTTGTCCGTGATTTGAAGAAGCCCAGCGTGCTCCCGACACAGGGAAAACCAATTCTGCAGGGAGACCTACCTGCACAGTAAAATTCACTGAGTAAATTTTACTAAACTGAAAGACAGTATTTGGTCCCAGTCTAAATGGAGTAAAATCGACTCTTATGGCAGAGTCATACTTTCAGAGTTAAATATACTCTATTTAGTGCAAATATTTTACTCTACATGATGATAATTTACTCAGTTTAGTATAAAATAAAAACAACTCCACCCTAATTTCATTCTAAATAGAACAGAATTTTACTCTGAATAGAATTATAAATAGAAGAAAAATTAACTTTATTTCACTCACTATGTAACTGTATTACAATCATTCACTGCAAGGTTTTAAAGGTACAATAAATAAACCAGAAAAATATATTTTTTTTTTAGCAGCCACCTTTATTATTCAGAGGAAACAGTATGGTACAATATAAAAACTGGAATCACCATGACTGTATGACACCTGTAAATCAAATGCTTTACAACAGAAAAGCTCTTTGGCATGAATTACATAAGGTCCGTCTCTTTTACACAGAACTTGAAAATCATTGAAATGCTCATTGAGACACACTGTTTGCAGTGCAAAAGTAATCAACAATAACCTCTCATCCTTCACAACAACATGGTAGAACTTGGCATTTCACAATGGACTTTTATACAAACAACTAAATTTGCACAATAAATATTTCCATGGTGTTTTGCCCATCTAACATTTAACACCTTGGTGTTGATTGGTAGCTGAAGAGTCTCTGCCATCTCACAGCCCCAGTCCAATCCATTTCAAGAAAGCATGTTACCTGATCCAGTGGTCAGTCTCTTGGGGTCAAATGTCTGCCAACTGAAAGCAATAGGACTTTGATGTTTTGTTGCCAATGTTTTAATTACATTTTTGAAACTTTTCAATTGTTTTTTTTAAAGAAGCTGTATTTTGCTTCATTGCGTATGCACCAGCTATGCAAAAGTGGTCCTGTTTTAAGTATACATGTAGGATAATGCATCATGAAATGATGCTTTGGTAGCAGCTTCTTGTGTGGAAATAAACCTTTGAATAACCTGTGGTGTTTGGCGATCAGGTGTTTCAAGAAAATAGTGATACCTTTTGATAACACTGCTGAAAATACAATATTCACTATTTGAAACAACAGCAGTAGCAAATACAGAGCTGTAATGTTACTTACAGACCTTTCAGATAAACAGAAATTCCCCATTTTATTCTAAATTCTAAATCTGTAACCTAAAACGGAAACATAGTAATACGGGCTCTTATAATGCCGATTTTTGTTGTTATTAGAGTCACTGAGATCTGCAGTGAGACAGCTGTAACCTGAGAGCCCATGGCATGGGCCCTAGATAGCAACTCTTGCAATGAAGTCAACACAAAATATACATTCTCCTGCTAACTATTACCATTTCTAGTACCCCAAAACCCGATGACGGTGCTAAATGTTTAGTGCACTGAACACAGAAGAATAATAAAGACAGAGAATAGGACATACCATTTAAGAATTGAGTAGGTATGATAAACAGAAGTCTAAATAACAGAAATAGAAGTTCTAATCTAAAGTAATGTGCATCACTGAAAAAGGCAAAATGGCTTGATAAAAAAAGATTCAGATGGCCATGCGGATGAGGCAGCTAATGTTTAATGGGTTGGGAGCCCAGAAATTTGAGCAGGAATTGATTATTTAGGATGCCTAAAAAAAACCTTACACAAGGTTCACAAATTGATTATCCTGCCCATGTCATGCAATTCCACACATAGTATGATGAGGCCTTTATTCAAATGTGTGATAATATTGGACCCTGCCAACCAGTACTGTCATCATATCCAAAGAATGAAGAGGGATGATCATTTTAAAAGAAATGGTATAAGAATAATCCATGGCTAGAGTATTCTCATAGTGCTGATGATATGTTTTGTTTCAGCTGCCATCTTTTCTTACAGTTTTTCTCAAATGCTAAAACACATGTCACAAACGTTACCACCAGGTCCCCCAATGTCCAAACACAACACCCTTCTCTAAAGCTACACAAACACAACCACACCTTCCCACTGCAAAACTCAAACTCCCACACCAAGAGAGCAGCTCGAAGCTGTCAAAACTGTAAACACTATACACAGCATTACACACTACAGCAAAACAATTGAAAACACAATGCTCAATTTGTGAGAAGGTTCTTTGGTTCATAACTGCCAATGCATATTTTTATAAACTGTACAGTAACGGATCGTCATAGAACCCTGCAGAGGATTAGGCATTTAGATTTGTGAGTTTCACATGAAGACTATAAATCTATAAAAACATCCTGCATGTACGTACACTACTGTAACACAACTCAATGCAAAAACAGAATCTATCGCACACAACAGTACTCTCGGAAACATGATCAGGGTGTGAAGTCTTTTTTATTGTCTACACGGTCTTTTTACAGTATTACACACAGTCACTGTGCGGCATCATGTCGCCGAGCTGCATTGGGCCACATCACCTCATCCACATCACAGGCTATATTGTCCCTTGCTAGGCACCGCGGGAAAAACGCCCTGGAATGGCGAATCCATCCCTGGAAGGCCTCCACTGGGATGTCAGCACAGGCCAGCTCCATTGCCCGTACGAGGTTCTCTCTTGTGTATGGCTGTCTGTCATACACCTTCCATCTCCATGATGAGAAGAACTCCTCTATAGGGTTCAGGAAAGGGGAGTAGGGTGGCAGACAGACGTTTAAAAAGTGGTCACTGTTGGTGGTGAACCACTCTCTGATTTGGTGTGTTTTGTGGAAGCGGACGTTGTCCCAAATGATCACATACATGTGATGTGCTAGCCTAGGATGGTGTTGTTGACGGTCCAGGAGGATGTCTTTTAGCTCCTCTAGGAAGGTGAGGAGACGTTGGGTGTTGTAAGACCCAAGGACAGCATGCCGGTGGACAAGCCCCTCCGTACCCATAGCTGCACAAAGAGTAATATTACCCCCCCGTTGGCCAGGAACCTCAGTGATGGCTCTTTGGCCAATGATGTTACGGCCTCTTCGCCTTCGTTTCTGGAGGTTGAAGCCAGCCTCATCCAGGAAGAGGTACTCATGGGGTCTGGCCATCGCGTCCAACTGCATTATCCTCTGTGAACATGGAAAAGCGTACAGGTGTTCAGAACGGTCAATCAGGTAGCACAGTATTGTCCAGAAGTAATGTAGGCCACTAAGCAACACAGTATGTCCACTAACTGTACTGTGGACATGGATGTATACGTACTTGCACATACTCGTAACGTTGTTCTATGTGTCGCGCAGAGTTGCGCTCAAAGGGAACCCTGTAGACCTGTTTCATCCTCATCTGTTGGCGCCGGAGAACTCGGTCTATTGTGGACACGCTGACAGCATCAATGTTCTCAAAGTTTACATTATCTGCAATGACTTTGTCTCTGATCTCTCGGAGTCTAATGCAGTTGTTCTCACGGACCATATCTGCAATGAGGGTTTCTTGTGCCGCTGTGAATATGGCAACCCTCCCACCTCTATGTGGCATTCTTTCAGCTCTAAAGAAAGAAACGTGTTGTCAATTGACTGATTTATATGTAAAACTACATGTAAAGTAACAGACCACTTTCACAGGCCTGTAAAACTGTAGTGTGACAAAGAAAGCAATAGCGTACTATACCTGTTGTGTTGTCTAAATGCCTTGATAATGGTGGCCACGGTGAACCTACTCAGGTTTGGATGTACTCTTCGTCCCGCTTCAGCCATTGTCATGCCATGGACAATGACATGATCAATTACTGTTGCTCGCATATCATCTGTTATGATGGTGCGAGGTTGTCTTCTTCTCCCACCTGGACCTTCTCCTCTCTCTTGTTGGCCTCCTTCTCTTCCTCCTCTACTCCGAACTCCTCTTCTTCTTAGGCCTTCACCTCTTCCTCCTCTGATCTCAACCCCTCTTCCTCTTTGGCCTGCAGCTCTTCTCCTTCCGCACGCTCGAATGCCTTCATCCATTGTGATTGTTTGGCATCTTCACCAAACTATGCTTTTATAGGTGGGGTCACATCATTAGCAACAGGTGTCTTCAATTTTGAGTCGTTGTGTGTAGTGACTGACGCCAGGTGTGTTCCCTGTGTTCAAAGATTGGTGACTGTGGCAAGCATTTTGCATCACATGGGCTTTCATTTGAGAATATGAGCAGAGTTGTTTTGCAACATGTGTTTTAGCAAGGAAAAATGTGTTTAGATTTATGAGTACAGAGGGTTGTGTTTTGTGAATTGTGTCTTCATGTGACATGTGTTTATGGTACTGGAATATGGTGGCTACATTTAGTAAATGTGTTTAGACTACTGGTCATTTGGGTTACAGGATTGGCTTTTGTGTTTTAACATTTGAGAAAAACTGTAAATTACAAAAAGTACACAAGTCACAAAACCCGGGAAACGGGTTAAATCGGTGGAGAAGGGCTTTAGAAAAGATCAAAGAGCACAGTGCCTCAGAGTCTCACGTGTGGTATGGTAAGGCGGAACTCATTAAAAAAAAAAACCTTGAAGGCAGCTTTTAAAGTAGCTGACCAAGTGTCACAAGCTGCAAAAGACAAAGAGAGAGAGAGAAACAGAGAAATGTTGTCTTGTTTCATAACCATCACTCTCTACATTGCAAGACAGGGTACGCCTTTCAGGGGACATGATGAGACCCTGTCAAGCCAAAAATCGAGTTGAATTGTTCAGTAAGTATGACAGTGTAATTAAATTTCATGCCATAAAAGAGAGACAGGGACCTGGAAAAAGACCTCTCACTCCTCTCAAACAGAAGTCAAAACAGCATAACCAAGGTTTGGCCACATCAGTAAGATGTGTCATCCAAGAGTGTGAAATCTTTTTTATGTTGATGGATGAAACCACAGATGTATCGCACGTCTGACAACAAAGGAAACCTGCTCGGTGTGCGAGCAGGTTTCCTTTGTTGTCAGACGTGCACAACATGGAAATTAGTAACCGCTTCCTTCAGGTAATTTGGAGTCAACAACTGGAAATTGCAACAACTGCAAACATGAGCTGGTGCTTTACTTAAGTCAAGAATACAAAAAAAAAAAAAAATCCAAAGGCCTTATATGTCCACTGTCAGGCAAATTGCCTTAATCTGGTTTTGGTAGAGAGTCAAACGTGTTTTGTCAGCTTTTTCAACGTAATTGAAAGGCTTTTCACTTTTGTGGCCAACTCATCGAAACGACACTGTATTTAAAATGCAGGAGAAGTTGTACCATGAGCAGCACCCACTGGAGCTGTTAGATACTAGGTGGACTGCAGAGAAACTTTCCTCAACACAATGAGGAAGATCCTCCCAGTTGTCATGCAGTTTCTGAGGGAAATACTACAGCAAGATCCCCCCAGACTCTTCATCAGGTGATGCAATGATCCTTCTCAAAAGCATCAATTTTGAATTCATCCTGTGTCTGGAGATCACCTGTCCCAACTTCCAAATGAATGCTACTGCATATGATACATTGCAGAAGAAAGACATTGACCTGGCTGCAGTAAACAAGATTGTTGACGGAGTTCTGAAGAGGCTGGCCCACAGCAAAATTCACAGGAGTTATTGGCCAGTTATGTAAATAAACAAAGATATTTTAACTTTGAACTGGATTCTCCTGTACAGGGATTTGAGGTTTAAAATAACTACAACAGTATCTACAATCATTCCAGAGCATTATTTCTGATTGCCAGGGGTGTTGGGTTTTTCTAAGAGAGAAAACAAAATGCTGAGTCTAGTTTTTGTTCATCTATGTCTCCTGATTTATGAGTCTTTTCCTGTCCTCTATGTAGTCCATTTTGTCCTCAGTATTTTACTTTCAGTATGCCTGTGCGTTAGTCTCTCCCAGTGTTCCATGTTCTAATTGTCAACCTGGTCTTGTCATGTCTGTATCTCTCCATGTTTCCTGTTTCCATGTTTTATTTTTTCCCCTGTGGCATTATGATCATTTGTGGCAGCTGTGTCTCCCCAGGTGTTTCCACTTCCCTTGTTACCCTCCTGTGTATTTAAGTCCTCTGTCTCCTCTGTTCAGTGTTGGGTTGTCTGTTTGTCTTGCTTCATGGTTCTCCAGGTTTTCTGCTCCAGTCCAGATTCATGTTTCTTGTCAGTTTTCATAGTTAACCTTAGCTTATCGCAGGATAGGTTTTAGTTTAGCTTTTCCCTCGTTTTCTGTTCATGATATTCAGCCAAAATAAAGGCTCGCTTTTTGTTATAGTGTGTTTTCTTCCATGTCTGCGTTTTTGGTCCGCTTTTTAAACACACGACAATCCCTGCTGTCACAATCTGTATCAGAATACACAATTCAAGTCATTTATTATTCAGGAACTAAAATTAACGTCTACAAAATAAAATCACAGATCTTTTGTTTCAAAAGAAAAGGGAGGAAAAAAATGAAACAAAACAAATAGACTGGATTTCTGCATACCCTAAGACTACATTCTAACGTACACGGGTATTTCTGAAAACTGAGATTTTCGTTTAAAAAACCAAACAAACAAAAAAACCCTCTGTCCACATGAAATTGAAGTCAAACGCTGTCAAAAACATGCCAAATCCTAACTGTGTAGATCTGTCACAAATCACAAGTCTAGAAGCCTGGGAGGGAGAGAGTAAACAAGGTTTTGTTTTTGTGTCACACAAAACTTAAAGTACTTCTGAAAAGTTTGTGTTTTTCTGCAAAGGCAGGTAATTTTGTGTTACTTTTCAAGTGCCTTCATCATTTTACATGTAAATAATTAAAGACAGTATTTTGGATTTTGTCTCACTGGCTCGCTTGGCCAGATTCATAGCGCGCTGAGATATGGCTGGTGTAGACTCAATCTGGAAATGGACAAAATGCATACAGCATGAATTTAATGTTAAAAAAAAATTAAATTTTTTCAACACCGAAGATAAAGTTGCCGATGGAATTTGGGTTGTGAGAGTGTCTGTGTTGAATGTAGAAGCCACATCCGAAGTTCACTCTGACGCCTCCGTCTTTCTAAACGGAGGGACAGTAACTGTGTAAGCATGCAAAAACTGCAGATTGTAAGATTAACAGCAAGAGTATTTCGTCTCTATTCGCCATTGTAGAAATTGTAAACAATACCGTGGCACACACCTTTGATGTTGTGTGACTAGATCTTAGTTTTCCTCATCCACACGTAAACGAAAAAATTTGAGTTTTAAAAAAAATCTCTACCCTGGCAGGAGTTTTAAAAAATCTTCGTTTTCAGTGACCCAAAACAACGTTTACGTTAAAGCTGTATTTTAAAAAATACCGTGTACATGTGGACGTGGCCCAATATAGCTGCCCTTTGTTTTAGAGGTTGTTTTTTTTGGGGGGGGAGTTTTTTTTAACAGATGTCCATATGTTAAAATTCGTTTGATTTGGGTAAGAGAAGAAAGCAGGCTGAGTCCGGGTAGGTGTCAAAAATAGTGATCTTTATTTTACACACTTTGCGCAGAGTGTGGGAAGAAAACTTGCAATACAATTTTTCTTCGAATGGACCGCTCCCCATCCTTATATTACCCTGATGACGTCACAGTTAGATCTTTACTGGAAATGATAACAGTTCCCCACACTCAAAAAGTTCTCCTTATATAGACATCAACTGCTACTTTAGAGAAAAACAAGTGTGTATTATGTTGTGCAGTTTTGTGAAAGTATGTACAAAGAGAGACTGTCCTAAGACGACCTCCCTGTCCTTCCTTAATGTGTGTGTGTGTGTGTGTGTACGTGCGTGTTTTACATAACTATGTGCATGTTGTTATTCGCCTGAATATGTGCAAGTGACTGGAACAGGCCCTGCTGGACCCACCAGTTCGAGTGGTGTAAAGACACTGATGTACAACAGCTTAAGCAGATAGAAAGAATAATACAGAACAACAATAAACTGATTAAAGTGATGATAATCTGTATACATTAATATTTGCTCAGATTAACATAGATGTAATTCAAAGATTATTCTGTCAACTGATTCAACAATGGTAAATGATTAATCAATGATAGGTCTGATTATAACTGTGACCATAAGAATACAAAATAAAATATCTCCTGTTCACACATACCAAACTAAGATAGAGAAAGCAGAGAGGATGGCAGTGGTCATACACTTCTGAAATAAAAAGTAACAGCTAAAACCCTAGGACTTAAACCTTATATTTTTAAACACTTTTTCAAAAACGCTTCTCAGATGGGCTTCTATGACGTTTTATCTTATAACTGCAACTTAATCAAAACTTTTAACTCATCAACCTTTAACTTTTGGTTTTTTATGCAAAATCCAAAATTAAGTCAATCAAGGTGGGAACATAATATGTAATTGTAAATTCCTTTTTCTTTTAACCTGTGTTCTGAGAACCAAAATAGGTTTCAAGGATTAGCCATATAGTAGGGATACAGTACAATGTGACCTAACTCATGATGGAATGCGATTTCTTGAGTGTCAACTACACACAGCGGAAATCTCTACCTATTGTGACAGTTGTTGTAATAATCTCTCTAACCTCTGTGTATGAGTTAACGTGTGTTACAGGAATTTAGATTGTATTTGTGCAGGCATGTACATGTCCAGGCATCTTTTCCTTGCAGTGATGTTTAAATCTAACATGGAAAATGGGCTCTTTCTGATGGAAGGCATGGTTTTTGTCTTAGTCCAGTCCACCACTGCATAACTGCTGTGAAAGACATTCTCAGTGGTTTGTGATTGAAACTCCAGTGTTCTTACTGGCCCTGGTTTTGTAGGTCTTGGATCCCATATCCATAGCTCTCTTGGTCTTCATCCTGATCCGAAGAAGCAGATTCCACTTACTTTAAATGTTTAACTGTCAAATCAGACTTTTTTTTTTTATGCAACACCAATTTTATCCTTTACACACGTGGTACATTATATAAAACATCAAAACACAAACTAATCTTTAGAGAAATGTTAGTTAAATCACACTGGTCTCTATTGTCTGTTATGACACAACACTTTTGGACAGTATAGCAGGTTTAAAAGAAATGTTACAACACTATCTATAGCAGCTGTTGTGTTACTTTTGTTGTGATAAACTGATATCACCAGTAACTGTCATCTGAAGGCTCAAATGCAGGCAGGAGTGGTGGTATCAAGGTCCAATGTGCAGACTTACTGAGGTGGAAGGGAAACTCAAACTTAGATTTATTGCAAAACTACAAAAATCAAACAAGCTGACATGCAGAACACAAAGTATGGTAGACAGTAGATCGCAACACAGACAAAGGAAAACACAGGGCTTAAATACACATAGAGAGGAATCAGGGAATGAGAGACAGAAGGAAAACAAGGCTGGGGCAAATCAGGGCTAATGAGACAGGGGAAGCAAAACCAGATACAATAACCTGAGACACAGACTTCAAAGTAAAACAGGAAATAAAACACAGACTTGACAAAGGGATACAGCAAATTCAAATTTTAAAGCAGACGGGGAGACAGAGCAACTAGGGAACCCAGACAGCAGAAGTCAAAGAAAACAAAAGATTAGAAAAGATAAATAATATCAAAAGCAAAGTTTAATAATAATGTAAACTCAAAACTTTGTGTTGATGACCTAGGTCTCCTAACAGTAACTTTAACTGGCGGACAGTACAAACCTGAGTCTTCAAGGTTCTGTAAGAAGTCTTGGAAGAAGGTGATGATAGTATTTTCTTTTGCATGTGTTGGTGTGGCGGGGTGTGGCTTGGGCACAGCTGCAGGGGAGGCTGAGCCACACGGTAGCTCCATCAGCTCATCACGCCTTCCCTGCATAAAAGGTTGTTGTCATCAGTTGGTTTATGGGTG